GCCCCCCCCCCCCCCAACTGGTGCCCCCTCAAAAATAATGAGTGCATGACGCCCCTGATTTCCCTTAAATGGTTAGTCCACCCAAAAATGAAAATGACCCCATGATTTACTCACCCTCAAAGCATCCAAGCTGTATATGACTGACGACTTTCAGACGAATCCAGTCAGCTGTATTAGAAATGTCCTGACTCTTCCAAGCTTTATAGTGGCAGTAGGTGGGTGTTATTTTTCAGTAGTCCAATAGAAGTCCAATAAAGCGCATCCATCCATCAGCCATAGTAAAAAGTGCCTCACACGGCTCCGGGGGGTGAATAAAGGCCTCCTGTAGCGAATCCATGTGTTTTTCAAAGAAAATTATTAATATTTAAAACTTTATAAACTAACTGTCGTACACAGGTTCACGAGAGAGTGCCATGACGTAGGTGTAGCGTAGCATAAGCTCTGGTGAGAATATGCTAGTCTCACAAGAACCAGGAGCAAAGGAAATCCTCCAACATTTTTCTTTGCAAATCCTCGTCTTGTAATTCTACTTCTCGACCAGCGTTTTGTTTTGCTCTCTTCACTGAGCTTCTGTGTTTGTCACTAATCACCGGGGCTTATGCTACACCACTCTCTCTTGAAAGCACGTACAACAGTTAGCGGTTTACAAAGTTTTAAATATGGATATTTATATTACACAAACACATGGATTCGCTACAGGAGGCCTTTATTCACCCCCCGCAGCCGTGTGAGGCACGTTTTATGATGGATGGACTTCAAAATCTCAACCACCAATCACTGCCATTATAAAGCTTGGAAGAGCCAGGACATTAATATAACTGATTATATTCATCTGAAAGAACAACGTCATGGGGTAATTTACATTTTGGGGTGAACTACCGCTTTCATAAACTCGAACTTCAAAAAGTTTATAAAAACACTGTAAAAGTACCCAGGCCTGTAAAAGGTTTAATTTAGCCTCTTATAAACAATTCAATTTAATTAAAGAGTGCATTTACTGCAGTGCACACAGGAATATTAACTCCTGACGTCACTGCTGGTTAGTCCGAGGTAACGTAAGCTACCAGCTTTCCTGAAACATTTGTCAAAACTAAAGGAGAAACCGCAGCTTTGCTTTCACTTGGTTCAGAAGCATTTGACAGCATGCACAGTTTCTCATCAATGATGACATGACACACTTTGAATAAATAGTGAAACTCAAGTTGTCAGAAGTTTATTTTATGTTCAAAGTGGAAAGAAACATGGCTGTGTTTGTGTGGGACCTCGTGTCAGTGAAGTGATCTTCAACCAAATACACACATTTAACAAAGAAAGTCTTCAAAAGATTCACATTCTGCCCAATTACGCCCCTGTAAATGTGAGGAAACTCTGGGGTAAACAAGCTCTGTAATAAAATAAAGTTTTTCCTTTTTTTTGCATTAATTTTATTGTCAACTAGTGCCGTCCACTTTATTAACACACAGACAGGACAAAAATAAAACCACTGCGTATACAATTTCTGATTTACACAAGAGTTCAGGGAACACGGTCTCAAACATGATGAACAGTAGTTTGTGTAGAACAGCTCATAAAACCTGTCCACAGTCTGAGATGGTGATGGTTTCCGTGGGTTTCCCGTCTTTAGTGCCCAGCTCTCCGATTCTCCTCACCACATCCATGCCATCTTTGACGAATCCGAAGGCTACGTGCTTGAAGTCCAAGTGCTCTGCTTTCTTGAGGGTGATGAAGAACTGTGAGTTGTTGGTGTCTCTGCCGCGGTTGGCCATGGACAGCAGCCCCGGCCCCGTGTGCCTCACCTCGAAGCTCTCGTCCTCAAACTTCCCTCCGTAGATGGACTTCCCTCCCGTCCCATCCTGGCTGGTGATATCACCGCCCTGAGAGACAGCAGGACCCAAACACACACACCTGAGTCATTTAAATCAGAAACCACAGCTAGGAGCAGAAACACTCCAGAATCTAGATATTTCAGACCGCCACCTTAACCAGCTGTTTGCATCTCATTTTTAATGTGCTTAGTTCATAATGACCCATCTCGCTCCAGAGGTTCAGTTACTCCAAGCAGACCTTTTACTTTCCTTGAGATGCTACTAGATTTTTTGTCAATGGGACATTCTACAGAATTGGTGCAAACTGCTGTCCCACAACCAAAACACACATTTAAAAAGCATTTAAGTATTCAAATCTTGGATGCTTACTAAGATCCTTCTATTATCTGTTGAAACCCACAATAATATTACAAATATCAGCAAGCTTAATATTAGAGCCCGACCGATATATCGTTTTGCCGATATTATCGGCCGATATGAGCCTGTCGCCGATATATTGGTATCGGCGAATATGCCGGCGATATTAACTTTTTTTTTTACGCAGATATTACAAATGCGTAACATTTAACGCAGATAAAATGCTTGAAATTGTGTAATTACTTAGTTTGTCCAGCAGAGCGCGCTCCACTGTTTGCTACAGGCGACCTGGATGAAGAGCTTTAAAGCTTAAGTCTATGGAAAACCATTGAAACTTTGAACGGCCATATCTCCGTAACGGCGCGGCGAATCCGCACCAAATTCGGGGGACGCCTTAAGCTTGAGGAACCCTCTCGAACGCGAATCGAGTGTACGTCTAGAGGCCCGCTTTCGAATGAGACACCCCCCGCGTGGATAGCCCCCGGGGTTTGGAAACCGATCTAGCGATCCCAGGGGGCTACTGACGCGCGGAGGGTGGCGTTCGAGAGGGCTCCTCGAGCTGAAGTGATCCCCCGAATTTGGTGGAGATCCGCCGGCGCGTTCATGAGATAGTGACACCAGCCAACACTTTCCCTTCAGTAAGGAGGTCTCTTGTTCAGACAGCAGCATTCAAGCGTGGTCTTATTCGACTGTAAGTGCCCTGCGAAGTGGACTTCACATGAAATTCCGCCATGATTCCAGTTCTAAGGGCATTAAAGTGCGCGAGATGTGAATTTATATTTAGGAATGCACCGAATGTTCGGCAACCGAACAGAATAAGCGAAAAGACCGAATAAATTGTACCGAACAATGATATGAAGCAATCATACAGCAAGTAGCGCAGAGTGAGAGGCGCGCACTCTTTATTATGCAGCACACACGTCAGCAGTGTGGAAGCATTGAAACTGTCGGAGAAAGACGCAAAAATCGTTACAAGCACCGACAGCGAGAGACTGTTTAGCACTGCTTCGCATGTCTTCAATGAGAAGAGGACGGGGGGATTGTTGCTGGTTACTGTATGATGATTGAAATCGCAAAATGGCATTAAAAAAAATTGTAAATAAACTGCAGAACGTTATGTTTTCTAATACACAGCGCTGCACGAACTCGTCTCTTCTCAGCAAGGCTGCTTTTAACTGTACAGTAAAAAATGCCTGATTCAAGATGGCCAAAAATTATTATTTTACTAACTTATTAATTTTAAGTTAAATTGTGCTTTGTTGGTATAATGTCTGCTAGAATGTCAAAAATGTTCAGTGTTAAATATTTTTTAAATAGTTGTTTTGTAATTGATTTGTTTTTTTTCAAAAGCAAGACAAAACAGTAAAAAGCACATTTTGGCTTTTTAATTTATGCAATGGTGGGAAAAAAAATGGGCAAAATACATGGGGGAAAAAACTCAGAAAAACCGTGTTCGGTATTCGGTGTTCAGCCTTTGGCCCAGTGTTTAATTTAGTTCGGTTTCGGCTTCGGCCAAGAATTTTCATTTCGGTGCATCCCTATTTATATTGTATATATTTACAGAGGTATATTATGTCACACTTCTCTAGTAAGTTTCGTCTGTGTGTGAAGACAGTAGCGCAAATCCGTGAATGAATGTTCCGAAGTGAAAAACTTAAACGCTTTAATTGGGCGCGTGCAGCACAGCAGAAACCGACTCAGACTCGATCTCTGCCCTGCTGCAGACGCACCGCTCCTGGAACGCAACCGTGTGCAGTGTGAACGCTCTGATCCGTTAACACGAGCACAGAAAAAATGTATCTATTGGGATCTATTCTGAGATTTTGGGAATGCGTCGCAATTCTCTCTGGAATCAATTCTGAGCTTAGTTTTTAACAGCAGATGGCGCTCTGATCTAGTTTTTAACCGCACACTCAAACGCTCATGAAGAGTGCTTGTGCGTTACTGCAAGTGGTTAAATGTACTTGAACCTTGGCTTTTATGCTTTTATGACGCAAGACTAATGTAAACACAGCCCACTATGAACACCCTTGTAATTCACCTCACCCTTTCAAACTGTATGAATGATTATTTTAGGTTCAAGTACTGTGTGTGTGTGTGTGTGTGTGTGTAAGTAACTGGAAGCAAGCAGAGTGCAGCAGTCGCTAAAGCACACAGCGCCATCTGCTGTTAAAAACTAAGCTCAGAATCAATCGTGATGCATTCGGAAAATCTCAGAATCGATGCAGAATCGTTTCTCTATTTGCGATGCATTAATTAAATTGCGATTTATTGTCCCAGCCCCATTACTGACAGACGTTCATTATGTTTTGATTTGATAGGTAGCAGTTGCACGATGATCGTTTTAACATTGAGAATTTATTTCAAAGCACTGATGTAAAGGAATATTCATGCTGTTTTGGTAAAGAACCCATCATCAGTGAGTTTGCACAATATCAGCATGTCCTCACCTGACACATGAAGTCCGGGATGATCCTGTGGAAGATGGACTGGCGGTAACCGAAGCCCATCTCTCCCGTACACAGAGCCCGGAAGTTCTCCGCCGTTCTGGGCAGGATGTGAGCGAAGAGCTCCATGACGACTCTCCCAGCACGCTCGTCATCTACGGTGATGTCGAAGAACACCACAGGGTTGGAGTCTCGAGACAGCGCCTCGGCGGCAGACGTCTGAGCGGCGTCAGTCTGACACATGCGGCTCTGGCAGTCTGTGAAGGCTCGTGTGAAGGACTCCGCCAGCTCTGGAGTCTTGAATTTGGCCGCCAGCTGCTCCACTTTCCCGTCTCCCTCTGTGTGGACAAACATACAGACGTGAGGACAGCAGCGGGAGAGAGATCTGACCCGTGCTGGCAAAAAAAAAAAAAAAGTGTCTTATTTTGAGCTGCAGGCAAAAGAAGTGAATGTCATTTTTGGTCGAATTTGAGGTTTTCACAAAAACGAGTTGATTAAGCCCTCTTCTAGGGATCCCAATGCTCCAAATAGTGATTAAACATCTAAAATCATCTTTATTTGTATGTTTTCTGAGAGGAGTATCTTCTTCTCTGCTGTGCTGCTTCTCATCACAAGTTGTAGGTCTATTGTTAGAAAGCGCAGCATTCCAGCTTTGTGAATATTCATATTGAATTCTTCATGATACGAGTCCAAACCAGTGAAATATGATTTTCAAACCCATGCTGATGAAAACAAAACGGTCGTGCCTCTCCGAGAGCAAGCCATCTCACTATAAAGTACATCATTGTAAAATATGTGTATGCGAGATTTACACAAACATAATCTATTATGTCTTACATGAACGTTTAGTGAATGGTTGGGGGAAAATCTGAAGCGTAACATTATATTAGATCCACGCATTACAGCAGGTCTTAATATAGATCTCAATGTTAATCACACATTCAAAGAAAAGAGGGAATCACTCGCTGCTCTTGATTAAACTACGGTTTATTTGCATCTTTGTTCTTATTTTTAATGACAAAGATAAAATAAAAGACAGCTATACTGTGATTAATAATATAGTAATTATTATTAAAACAAGAAATGGAGGAAAATATGCAACACTGCTAGGTGATTTTGCTTTGAAATCTTTAACTTGATTTTTCTCTAAATCAATTCTGCTGACTATCGTCTTCAAGCGACTGTAGCTCAGTACATTTTTTGTCCGATTTCAACAAGTCATATCATTTTGAAGGTATTGTGCTTATTTTCATGTGTGTGTGTGTGTGTGTATTGCGGGTCATGTGTGTGAGGTGAGGAGCGAGGGCTGCACCTGCGTAGTCTGTGGCGGTCCACACCAGAGAGTTAGCCGAGGTGTTCATGGGCTTGAGCTCGATGCTCGGGCTGATGCTGTGGTTGGCGCAGACTCTGAGCACCTGCTCGCGTCTCATCAGCAGGCGGTAGCTCTTCTTCAGCGGGTGGAAGAGGATCTTGAGGTCTCCCACGCCGCGCTCCTTCCACTGGTTGAGCTTGCGGTCCCAGCGGTAAAGTTTGGCTCTTTCTCTGAACAGGATCTCCTCGTCCTCCTCACCAGACCTCACCTCCACCTGCAGGATCAGCACACGTCACACTTCTCCAGAGACACGAGGAGCACAGCTACCAGCATCAAAGCAAACACTCACCTCAGGCAGAGACACGATCGGCTCAAAGTGGATCTCCTCATTACGAGTCGTCTCTTCATCACGGCCCTCCTCTTCTGTTTCATGGCTTGTTTTTTCTTCTTCCTTTTGTGTCCCTGTACTTCTAAAGACTGTGGTTCCTACACCTGACCATGAGAAATGATCATCTGCAGAAATAAACACACGATGAAACGGCATACTCCTAATATCAATGCTGACAGCAGCGGTATGATTACATACTAGCCCTCTCATAATACTAATTCATATTACTGCTGCCAGTGAACTCGCACACACACTCTCTCTCTCCCGCGCGCGCGCGCGCACACACACGCGCACACACACGCGCACACACACACACACACACACTCTCTCACACACACACACACACTCTCTCACACACACACACACACTCTCTCACACACACACACACACTCTCTCACACACACACACACACTCTCTCACACACACACACACACTCTCTCACACACACACACACACTCTCTCACACACACACACACACTCTCTCACACACACACACACACTCTCTCACACACACACACACACTCTCTCACACACACACACACACTCTCTCACACACACACACACACTCTCTCACACACACACACACACTCTCTCACACTCACACACTCTCTCTCGCGCACACACACACACACACACACACTCTCTCTCTCTCGCGCACACACACACAGACACACTCTCTCTCACACACACACACACACCTGACCGACACACC